ACAATGGAAACTATATGAAAGAGTTTAAAATCAAAAAGATTTAGCTCAGTCTGAGAAGATTCATCTATAGATTTCTTCCCCTCCTTGAGAAACATAAACTTATATAGACTGCGCTAGATTACAGCATGTTCAAGTGAGGCCCAAAAATCTGGTAAAAGTAGATTCATGAGGATATACAAGACACACAATTCTGCCTTAGGTTATAAAACATTCCACCTGTGACCTCTAACAGTTCTTTGCCTCCCCCTCTCCATGCAATGCAGTGTGATTGATTTCCATTGCTGGTTCCTCACCTAGACCTCAATTCAATAGACTTCTCTTGAGGCAGGCACCAAAGCTTTGCTACTGCTCAAAAGAGGAGAAGCAGCATAGAACAACCAAGTTAATGCTGCCATGAGGAACATTATTACCACAGTGCTGCTGAAGGATTCTCAGAAGCCACTCCTCAACTTTCTTCCCCACTCCAAGAAAACTGCCACAAGATCCCAGGCTTGAGCAGCAGTAGATGGGAGGATTTTAATCTCAGACTGCCCACCAGTCTGGTTTTACTACTGCTTTCAGTATGGCCTTACTCTCTACCATATTTAACAGCTCCCCTTTCTGATACTCTTTGTCTTAATCCTGCCCTATGTGGAAATAGTGGAAATATTAAGCAATAAATAACCCTGCATAATGAAACAGAGCTCCTAGTAAATAGTAATTGTGTTTTGGGGGATAACTATACAGACAATAATAACTGCAAATACCATTCTTTAAACTCATTTGTGCCAGAATTTTTCCAATAGAATTGCTGTCATTTCCTCACAAATCTGAGATTGCCTGACCTATGCAAACCCTATCTTAATAAAGATATACAAATGGAACGTGTTTTAACATGACATGAAGTCTAAAGAAAAAGATGTCACAGTTCCTGCAATCACTAGATTAGGGCTTAGAACTTAGTCACATGAAGAATACTTGTGTTTTAAAAGTCTGTCAGTGGGTGCAACAAACCACTGATATTGACCAAAAGGGTCCCTAGCCATGGCACCCTGGTCCTCTCTAACACTTCATACAAAATGCCTCACTTTTACAAAAGCTCTGGGGTTTAGTGTTAGAACCACTGGAAGCTGGTATGCTGAAAAAGTGACACTGGAAATGGTACTTTAAAAGATTTTTAAGAACAGACAAAAGCAGCTAACAAATTCTATATTAATTTGCGCTCTTTTAACTTTGTGCACTCTTCATACCTATGTCCTGCTTTGAAGGAGTTTTAAACTATTTTATATTTATTATTCAGAGAGAAGTTTTCAGTCTTGTTTATTTTCTTTGCCTCTACCAAAAAAAAAAAAAAAAAAAAAAATTAAAAATCCGGCCAAATGCCGTGTCCTTAAAACTGAGCAAAGTATTTTATCTGTTGACTTAAATACATTTACAAATTTACTTTGACACAATGCAAATTCTGTATTTTGACAGTTTAGACTAGAAATTCCATGGTTTGAGACTGCCTTCAAGAGCTAATATTCAACCCAAACTCATATTTTTAAACTGCTGGCCAGGACATAGTACTGCTAAAAATTACAGTCAAGGCAAGGCAATGTTGCACTACAGGAGAGAGAGATCACCAAGATAAGGAATAAAAATTGTAACACCTACCAACAGCCCTATTATCAACCAGCCAGTCAGCTGAAAACAAAGAGGAGGAGGCATGCCTGCTACAGGCTACAGCAGAAAAATACATTGTATTTGCTGTCTTCAGGAAGAGCCCTAAATCAAAACCTAGCAGACCACTTTGATGACTGGAATGCTTTTTAATCCCACCTCACATTTAAATGTAAACTATGCACCAAATTTTCTCAAGAGCTTAAGTCCCATTTTTGATATTTCAAATAAGCATCAACAGGGCAGTTGAGCTATTTCTTAACTCTGGCCATAACAAGAAGTGTTGCATTCTTTTCAAAGGCTAGATTGCTTTATTCATCCATGGCTATTTGCGTTAACTTTAAAGAAATAATACCCTAAATCCTCTGAAAATATTACACATGAATTTCACATATTGTGAATATTTTTAGATCTAACAGATCCTCACAGATTTCTGGGATAATACTGCCTGAAATGAAAACAGAGACAGATTTTAAAGGATAATTTTTTTTCCTGAGCTCAAGTTATGTAAAACATCCAGATCCAGCAGATTTTTTTTGCTATCTTCTTGATAATATTAAGAGGACTTTTCAGCAGAAAAGAACCCAGCCAACACAAAGCTGGCCAGCTCAGACTCCTGGTGTGCACAGCTTCCAAGACAGGGTGAACACGCAGCTTTTCTTGATCAGTGCAACTTCTCGTTACAGAGGCCTGAATCCAGGGAAACTGACAGCAGAGAAGCATCCCACATGCGAAACAAACCAGAACAGTTTGTTTCCCCCACATACCCACTGTTTTCCTAAATCCTTCAAGCTATAACAACAGATGCTTTCAGAAAGAAACACCTTGGCTGAGGAAGCTGTATACTTTAGGTCCTTGTCTGGCTAGAAATAAAGTTCTGTTTGGGTTTTTTGGGTTTTTTTAAAGGATTTTTAACGAGGTGTAAAATTACTCTCAGAGTCGAGAGCAGAGGTTTCAAAGCAATGCTCAGAAGCCTTGCCTTTGAAGATGAGCATCTCCAAACAAACCCAACAAGTGTCTAGTACATCTCGCTCCTTTGTTGTTGTTTCTAAGTGATGACTAGAAAGATCTGCGGACAGCAGCTCCTGTGCAGCCTGTTAGCGCCCAGCAACCGGCGGAGAGCAGGGAGCATCCCTCGCCTGGGGACTCAGTTTTCAGAGACTCCGGGGCCAGGAGAGTGACAACGAGTTTTAGAGCAGTTGGGAAAGTCCCTGCGGGGAGGGTGGACGGGGCTGCGCCCCTCCGGCACCGACCTTCCCGGCTGGGGTGCGGGGAGCGCCGGCAGCCCGGGACCCGCGGCGGGCAGGGGCGGCAGAGCCCGGCCCGGGGGGCTGCGCCGCCCGCCCGCGCCTCCCCGCCGGAGCCAGGGCGGCTCACGGCACGCAGGGATGGATGGCTCCGTCCTCCTCGGGTCCCCTCCGCGACGCCCACGGGCGCACGCCCGGCATCCCCAGGGCAGGCGGCGGCGGAGGAGGAGGAGAAGGAAGGATGCCGGCCAGCGTGCCAGGGATTTATTTACCCCGCCCGGCTCCTGGGCACGGAGACGGGAGGAGGGTACCACACTCACCTCTCCCCCATCATCCAAGAGCCCTTGACCCGTAGCCCCCGCAGCCGGGCCGAGGGGGACGGGGAGCAGAGGAGGCGCCCCCCCGCCGCCCTCCCGGCTGGGGTCCCGCTCGGCTCCGGCGCGCCCCCACCTCCCGCCGCGGTGGGAGCCCTCCCTCCCCCCGGAGCCGCCCCTCTCCCCGTGCCCGGGGGAGGAGAGGGAGAGGAGGGGGCTGGGGGAGGGGAGCGGTTCGGGGCGAGAGAGAGGAGCCCGTTATTGGCCTACTTACCATCAATCGCCATGATCCCCGGCGGGGTGGGCCGTACCAAGCGGAGGGAGCGCACGCAGGAGAGGCGCTGCCGGGCGCCGCGGCTGCCAGGCGGGAGCGGCGGGAGGGGCGGGCCGGAGGTGAGCGGGGCGGGGCCGGGCCGCGTCACTCCTCCCGCCGCCGCCCGGCCCCGCCCGCCCCGCCCGCCGCCGGAGCCCTCAGCCCCTCACGGCCCGCCAAGGGAAGCTCCGCCGCTGTCCACGGTGCTGTTCCCTGGCTTTCCTTCCCGAAGAGAGTAGCTGAAATAAAGCCCAAAGCTCCGAGGGCGCTGAGCGCCGGCAAAGCCGCGCTTCACGCTTCTGCTTCACAGAATCAGAGAATACCCTGAGTTCGAAGCGACCCAAAAGGGTCATCGAGTCCAAGTCCTGGCTCCGCACAAGACACACCAAGAGTCACACCACGTGCCTGAGAGCATTGTCCAAACGCTCCCTGAGCTCTGCTAGGCTGGTGCTGTGACCGCTGCCCTGGGGAGCCTGTTCCAGTGAAGAATCTTTTCCTGATATCCAACCTAAACCTCCCCTGACACAGCTCCAGGCCATTCCCTCAGGTCCTGTCACCGGGCACCACAGAGCAGAGATCAGTGCCTGCCCCTCCTCTTCCCCCCACCAGGAAGTTGGAACTGCAATGAGATCTCCCCTCAGCCTCCTCCAGGCTGAACAGACCAAGTCACCTCAGCCACTTCTAACTCACAGTTTATGATAAAACCAGCTTGCTTCATTACATTAACTAGCCACATCCATAACTGCACAAAACTGCTTGTGGCAGCTCTAGTGCTGCCTCTACAAATTGTTTTTTCCAAGATTCTTTCCCCTTTCTTTTAAAATATCATGCTGAAACTGTCTTTTGGAGTTAAGTTTAAAGGGATTCTCCCCCTCTATTCCACTCTCATGAGAATACACCTAGAATACCATATCCAGCTCTGGGACCACCAACATAAGAAGGCTCTGGACCTGTTGGAGCAGGTCAAGAGGTGTTGGAGCCTCTGTTGCTACTCCTTCCTCTGTCCCACTGCCACAGGTTCTTCCTCTCCCTTCTATGCCCTTTCCTCAACTCTCTTGCAGTTGTACCAGCCTCTCTTTCCCTGGAGTTCTGTAGTTGTTATCCCACCCAGGAAATTCTTCTTCTACACTCTCTTCCTCACCTCCCAGAAGTGGCAAAAGGATCATCACAGTGAGCAAAGAGGACAGGGTTTTGCAAAGCCCTGCAGCCTTTACCACAAGGATCCAGAAGGACATCTGGGGCAAGCCATGCATGGCTCCTGAAACTAAGAGAGAAAACAGCCAAGCAGAGACCTTATATTATGGATTTTATATTGTAATCTTGTACAGGATGTAGGATGTACATAAAATTCTGTTACTGTGACAGAAAGTCCTGGTAGTGTTTGGAGCTATAAAGAAACACATTACTACTTGCAAACAGGTTTTTCATACATAGGTAGACTGACCAAACATAGGAAAATTTTCACAAGATGGTAAGGAGGAATACCTTTTGTACCAGTATCATCTTTCTGCCAAATGTTTAGTCACCATTCAAATCCTGGAAGCATTAATCCCCTTCAGCCTCACAGCCTTCAGAAATCTTTTGTCATGTAGAAAAATCAATGTGTTTTCTCAAATTTGTTCTCCACCTCAGGAGAAAAAAAAAAAAAAAAAAGTTAAAGTGAGGCATTTAAAAGCACAGTCAGCCTGAGCAAAATGGCTGTCTTGAAAAACACAAGTCCCAAATGACAGACATATGTCCTGACCAGAACCAACTGTTAAAAAGATCTTCAAAGAGAAAATGTCAGCAAAGCTTAGTGGCAAATATATTTCTCTCTACCAGCACTGACATTTACCTCAAATACCCTAATGATTTGCTGTTCTTCCTCTTCCTTCCATCCCTTTTCCTCAGCTCTCCTGCTCCTAGCAAGTGTTCAAGCCCCAAAGCTTTCCTTACAGTTTTTGTAGCTGGCCATCTTTCTGATGATATTAGTGTATTGAGTACAGGGATGATAATGCCTGTGGGATCAAGTACATAGGGTTATTATTTTTCTCTGCTCTGTTTTTTATTTCTCCCCCTGCTTTTGGCAGCATCCACAGTATGAAGGAACTACCAGTCAGATTACATTAAATCTTCCCAGGGCAGAGGCATCCACCCATACAGAATCCAACACAAAGTTTTTGAGATGTTTAAGAAGTCATCCAAAATTTTTGGAGAGCCTCACATGTCATGATTATTCCATGATTCATGTATGCAATTACCATAATGGGATGCAGAAATTCATGTCATTGGACAGACTTTTTGAGGGTGAGATATGAACCTATGTTTTTTTGAATTAGTGACACTATGATTGTAATTCTTGGTCCAGGGGTTTGGTTTTCAAAACATTAAAGAAACACATAATTTCCACAAAAGTAATGAAAGCTCAGTTTGGAAAAACAGTTTCAGGACAAACATGATTCCACATCAACAAAGAGACGGTGTGAAATGTATGTGTAAGGAACCAAAACACGACTTTTCAGAGCTATGCTGAATCAAATCTGTTCTATTTGTGCTTAAGTTTCACAAGTACATGTTTAAAATGTCTTGCTTTATTGAAACAGCAGATACTCCTGCCCACCACCATAACAGTCTCATTTTTCCCAATTTTACCAGGAGGGACAAATTTTGAACAAACTTCCAAAATTCAGCTATTTTAGTTTTGTTCCTATGATGTAATTGAGGCTGTGTAAGCTGTAGCTTCATCTGTTCCCTGCACAAAAGGAGTACAGCTGGTCAGTTTGGACATGTCAGAAATTGTCTACTGAATCCAGTGGGCCATTCATTCCGCTGGAAGCATTTACATGTGATCCCACAAGTATGCCCTTTGCAAAATAGCACAGCTGCACACAAACATGACATTGGCTCAACTTCAGACCTTAAGTAAAGTTGATAAATCGTTAATGTACAAACAATTTACAGGTTATCAGGAGTTCCCTGTCAAATGGAAGAACCTATTACGACAACAGATTTGCTGACGGCAATGCAGCTATCTGACTGATAAAGGATAAATTTAATCCCATAAACCCTAAACTTTTTAACAAACTACCTACACAGGAGAAACTTCTCCCACTGCACTGATGAGAAGCCACTTTGGCAATTAAAACCAAAAGCTGCTGGAAATTTTGGCATGAATGCCCTAGGAGGAGAAATACATTAAAGATCCATTTAAGGCCTGATCCTTGCCAGACCTTTTTGGATTTTCTCTTCTATCTTAGCCTTAATAACCTTAGTATTAAAAAATATCTAATTTAAGAGTCTGTGCTTCATGAAAACTTAGAATATAAGTAAATCAGGGCATGTGTGAATGAAAAGACTAACTGAAGTGTTAGAAAACACAGACTATCAGTAATCAGAAGGGTCAAAGACCTAGATTAATAATCTGCTAATTAAGATGTCAGATAAGGTATCTACAATTGTCATGATACAAACAAAGTGAGTTCACAATTGAACAAACAGTGGACGAAAACTTCCATGTAAATTTTCCAGTGGAATGTTGCCATTTCATTCAGCTGTAGGTACTCTACAGAAACACAGCGATTTCACTGAAATGCCATTGGGGAAGGGGTGAAATATCCAAGGTCTTGCATTTCAGATAAAAACTTTTAATCTCAAGACTTTTTCCTTCATATTATATTTTTACATAATATTAAAATGAAGTATCTCGATTTTATCTATATAAAATCTTTCAGTTAGAAAACTCAGTCTTCCGTTGAAATTTTACTTAATGGGGCTTTCCAAAACTGCATGCAGAAAGCTACACCTCCCTCTGTGTTGTGCTACACCTACATCTTCCCTCTCGTTGTGTTTCAATCTGAAAAGGAAACAGATTTTTAAAGAAGGGATCAAAACTCCCACAAAACTGAAATTCTGAGTTTTTGACCAGGAGCCTTAAAAAAGTCCCAGCAAGAAGCACAATGATATGCTGCTCCAGGGTGTTCTCTCCTTGCAGATATTTATAGGAATGCAAAAAAAACTGGTGCAGCAATGTTGAAGTGAAGAGACGAATAGACAAAATCTCTAGCCTGTAATGTTGAAGTGAAAACACAACGTCTGAAACATCTTCAAAAAAGATCTCCAAAGACATTATTACTCTAGCAGATGAAAAGATAGCTAAGAACTATAATACAGTGCTGTGTCCTAATTGATTTGGAATATCAGTTTACAACTTCCCATAAGGATTTTTGGCAGCAATTTTGTGAACACTGCCAATCAGATCTGCAATCAGATTAGTTTCACATGCACAGTGTTCTTTATTAGGACATTAAATACCTGACCTTTCAATATTAAGGTTTGCATTATCAAGATTTCTGGCACTAAATAAATAACCTGTGATGCTTATTTAGCTTCTTATAGTTTTTGAAAGCTATGAAAGACAACCTGAGCCCTCTGGAATTGCAGAGCTACATGTGGTAAGAGCCATACATCAGATACACTCAAGTCTCCACTCCTTGGAAAAGAAACATAAACCTGACTCTTGAAGCAAGTGATTTGGCCAAATAATACTCAATGTGTAATTTAATATTCAAGAATAAATGATTGAGAAACTGGAAAATAGTGTTTCCAGCAGCACCTTCCTTCTGCCAAATTTGGGACTCCACAAGGTCAGATTTCCAACTGGGATACAGTTGGAAAAGGTCTTATAAGCTAAATCAAAATTGAAAGATTTTTGTTCAGATTCACATTGTTAATCCATGGGTAATGCATCTGCTACAGAAATAAAAACCAAAAGCATAAACAAAAATGTGATTTTTGATGCCTATTCATTCTAGTGGATGTTCTGTTAGCCATAAGCCACATGTAAACTTAAGAGCTGGATGAATAACACAATGATTCTTACTGGTGCATTCGTAAAAATCTTAACTGGCTCAAGAAACCAAAGTTAATATTATTCCACTGCCCTTGCACTGCCCTAAAACAAAAAACTCGTGAAGATACAGATAGGACTATTAAATGCAATTCTGAAGAAATGTGCTAATCATTGAGCCCATGTGCTCACGTAAACTACAGAAATGGTAAACCAAAAGTATACACAAAAAGGTCATATGCTAAATTCATGCACAACACATTCAGACATGCCAGCTTTTCCATGAGAAGCTGAACTAATGAAGTGAGTGTCCTGCAGATGTAGCTCTGTACCACTTATCTCCATACCTCCCCAGTGGGACATCTCTAGGTTATTCCCATGTTATCCTCTGCTACATTCCCAGTGTTAACAGGATATCTGCAATTATTCCAGAGCTTTGCACAGGCTGTTTGAATGGCTGAGAAGCTGTCAATGCAAGGTACAAATGCTGAAATGTCACAATTGCTTCATTCTCCTGACCTTTCCTGCAATGAGAGTACTAGTTTCATTGTCTTTCCTCTACACAGAAGTTAGTTTCCCTGAAACTGGAAGGAACCTAAATATTTCTGGTATCTTGATGAACTTGACCAACTGTTCCTAAGCTGAGGCTTCTCTCAGCTTTCCCAGGTAGACACATTTGAGAAAGAGAACATGTTCACATAACCCTAATATGCTTGGGAACTAACAGTAGGAATCTCAAAGCCCAGCAAATGGCCTTCACAACTCCAGCTACACTTAAAAAAAAAAAGCATGCATTTTAATGCAAATTTCCAACAAAAAAACCCTGTGTTCTTGCAAAACAGGTATCACATGTATCTCAACACACAAATGGATGGGGATTAATGTGCTTTCTTACAGAAGAGCTATGTGTACATCTAATTAGAGAAGACATAGTATAAAATAGTAATATGAAAACAGGCACATACATAGTATGAACAGCCAGCCATTCAGAAAGCCACACCTAATTTTTTGATGGAAAAAATCATCTTCATCAAAAAGCCATCAAAGGTAACACCGTGGAACAAAATTAAATTCAATCTCCATTATTCATACTTAAAATATTAAAAAGGGATTGAAAGATATGATCCAGTTCTCCTGAAGGGCTATTTTTAGAAAGAACAAGGTCCTGGATGCTAACAGCCTATTGGCCTGGTTCATGCCAGCATAAAATGAATGACCTTGCTGTCACAGCCTCATCTGATAGAGAGGAGAGGCTGCAAATGGTGTGAACAGAGACTGAACTGCCACAAGCTGTAAAACCACAGCATAGATAGAGGCAGAGTTAAAGCTGTCACAGTGTTGGTTATTAAAACATTTAAATCTCAGATTGCTTGAACGGTACAGAGTTTTCCTGTCAGAGTGTTCTTAAAGCTGGTTGCTCACCAGCTGGAACTGTGAATCCAAGAGTGGGAGAGATTCTCTTCCCTGTGGCCCAGGCAGCTTGGAAAAGTGGTGCATGCATAGGTGGTGGTGTCAGCACAGGGAGTTAATCACGCTCCTAAGGAAGGGGATTCAGATTCATGAGAGATTCATGAGGTGCTTTACAGAGTTAGTTACCCACAGTATGTATGCCAGTCCTGGTTTATTGACTAGCCCTGGCCAAACCTACCCATAGTTGCTGTTCTTGGCTAACCTTGACAAAGCCACTCCTGTTGCCATGAAACAGCTTCCTTCGCTCTCACTCTTCATCTGCCTCTAATTGCCTTTAGTGCACTCTCTGCTTCCGTGCTGGGCTGCTCTGCCCTCCCACCTGTAACCTGGTTTGCTCAAGCTGCCACCCCTGGATTGCACTGAAGTACTTTTGTGTAGCTGCTCTGCATGTAAAGGAGGTGCAACTGATCTCTGTAGAGGAAGACGACAGTGTCTAGCAACAAAAGAAAGTGCTTGACAAACACTGTCCCCTTAGCAACAATAAGGCTGTAGCTGGAGCCAGACCTCTTCAGGTCTCTCTGGAACGAATGGTACCCTTAACCATTCCTGCTGGGAGGCTTGTGCTAAGCATATAATCTGCATTTCATTTCCCTCTAACTGCAGCAACTCGTTTTGTGTATGCTCCTGCACAGCTGAGAACTGAAGCCTGTGGAGTACTCGTTACATCCTTTCCCACTGAACTTAGTCCCCAGGAGCAATATTGTAAAAATATTTTTAAACTAAATAAGGGTTGAAAAGGCAGCATCCATATAATTTCATGTTTCTTTTTAGTAATATAACTTTAGTCTGCCTTTTAATTATTTAAAATATTTCTAAGTCATACAGCAACATATGATCTACTCAGATTTTTGGACTTAGCAGAGCTGTTCTTAATGCTGTTTCTGAACATACATTCTGTTCTTACATTTAAAATAACTACCAGAATATGTCATTCATTCTGATGGCACCACAAATATTCTATTGATGCATTAATTGAAAGAAAATACATTTCTGAATTGAAAGAAAAATTTTTCTAAAAATGCATGAGATCTGCAGAATTATTAAAGTCACTATTAAATGCAGCAACCCATTTAAATGCATTTTTAAATTTACATTTCTATTGCCCTATTAAAAAGATTCCTTCCATATGAAAAAATCAAATTATATGTAAACTGGAAGTATAATGCCAATTTTTAAAAGGTTGCTCTTATATGCAACTACATCAAGATTAAGAATTCTGCAGAAGAGCTATAGAATCACAAAGTTAAAGTATTATGTATATGAAGTACTCAGGCTTATTCTTTTAATAAAAATTACATTTTTAAGGTAATTAATAAAAAGCTACTGAATTAGTTCATTAAAACTATTTTATATTTACTATCTTAAACATGTGCTTTCAAAAATTGCCCAACTTCCAGTCTGGAATTTAGCTGTAATTTAACAGAAACTTTCAGAAAGATTCCTGAAATACAAATACTTATAAATGGAGAACTTCACAGAGGCAGAAATTATTTAAGAAAAAGGAAGAAAACTTGGTAACAAACTTAACGAAAGTTTTTTTGCCATTCAAGTAAGTAAAACAAATTGTTCTAAAGCTGATCATCCTGCGTTCTCCTTCTCTGAGACCCAGCTTCTTTCATTAGAAGAAATAAAGTGATACATATTCCAGTCTAACCTCCTTAATTTCCTTAATTATCCTACTGATACCCCATGGTAATAAAGGATTTGAAAACTTAAAACTCACATTTAAATGAGGAGGTTGTCCATGGAGAAATGTCTTCTGTTCAAGAAGAGCAAATAAGTAAACATGATTCCTCCAGGGCATGATGGCACTAGAGCAGGATTGGTTTCGTAGGGGAAGGATGAGTTGTGTTTGCAGAGTAGAGAACCATATGAAGGGGCAGTAAAGTATTAGTCATATGGCTTTAAAACCTCAATTACTGTTTGGTGTGAGTTTGACTTAGTCATAAACTTACTTCAGCTATCTAAATGTTTTTCCCAAAAAGATGCATCTTAACTTTCCTGCTTTTCAAAAAGCTCGATGTAGACATATTAAAATAAAACTGTTTCATTCCAGATGTGTTAAATGACCATCTAGCATTCACATATTTTCTAAGAGAGGTAGATACACAAGTACATTTGGGAAAAAAATGTAATAGAAAACTCAAAGGATAGGTGAAAAATATTCACAAACTCACCATAAAACTTCAAAAATCTTTCTCCTAAATTCCAAGTTACTGAGCTGGATTTATCATTATAATATTTTTAAAACTGTGAGGCAACAGCTGTCTAGAATGATGTTTTCTAAATTTTTGCCTTCTTTGTCCCTTTCCAATATTAAACTTATTTTTCATTATTTCCAGCTACATGTTACCCGTGTCTGGAACCCCTCCCCTGCTGATCTCAATCGACACAATTACTTTGGCTTGGCAGTTTTTGTTGGCTTCCAAAAATATTTTCAGTCCAAGCAAAAGCTGTACCACCAATTTCTTTGCCAATTCTCCCAAAGTCATTGGTCCTTGTTGATGGCTATCATCTGTGTGCTCCTTTCCCTCTTCTCTACACACATTTTTGCCCTTGGTAGATCATTCTTTGGCTCTGTGTTTCATTTGAACCTGCTCCCAGTATTGTTTCAACCGCAGTCTATGTGACTCTCCAAAAGAGAATAGTCCACTGGAATTATATCACTATAGTTTACGACAAGGATCTGGCCCTCCTTGAAGTTATTTAATGAAATTAATCACTTGTTGCATAATAGAACATTTTAGTCAAAGATAAATAAATTTCCTTTGGTTCTTCATTGTATCAATACACAGAATACTACTGCAAGGTAAGGAAAAAATGTTTCCCTTATTTTAAAGATAAATAACAGTGATGAGCTGTAATCACATTGCTCAATAAAACAGGACCAGAGACCACTCCATGTCTCTGGGGTCAGCTGGAACAGCCTGGATGTCTCCACACTGTGCATGGTCCTGGGCTCTTGTTATTGTCTCATGAACTGCTTCTGCGGTCCTATGACATCATCACTGTATCCACAATTTGTTTTTTCCCTACTCAGATGTCTAAAATAATGTAAGAGCTACATACAGCCCACTAGAGTGTGTATTCATGGCATTTATTGATGTATGGGTAGGTGTTGCATGCCATGGGGCAGGTTATGATGGTACAAGAGGTAGTTAAGGATAAAAAGTCTGCTGGGAATGTCTTGGAGAGCTATACAGGTTACAGGGATATGGTACAGGTTTTTCTGTACCACCCGGTGGCAATTTTAGTGTAACAAATGTCTTACAAGCATTTGATGAGGCTAAGGATCAGTATTCCCTGAAGCAGGGCCCCGTGCTTATTGGGTGGGCTAAGCGTACTATAGTCACTTTGCCCAGCCACTTAATATTGAATGGAGTCAATTTTTCTTCTATTAATTAAAAAGGTACACATTACAAATTGTATTTCAGGGTATAGAAGGCACAATGATGCTGATACCAGGCAGTTCAGAACATGGAAGATGACACCATTGTAAAACAATTTGCCTTTGTTCATTTTCTTTGTGGAAAAGTTGTTTCCATGAGCCATTAGGGAATTTATTTTCAAACAGATGTCACATTCAGCAATGTTTTTTCTGGTGACCAAGTTCCCTTGGGTTAGTGTTTTTGGTTTTTTTACAAAAAGTGTGCTGGTATTTTGTTACATGTGTCTAGCCTAAAGTATGGTTTGAAGCAAGTACTTACTCATTTAGGTGTTAAAGCCGATAAGATTCACAATTCATAAACTGTGAATTAATAAACAAACTGAATTAATGAACTTGCACAGATTCATAGACTTACATTAAATGAACTACTATGCAGGCTGTAAAGAGGCAATGGCATATGAGTTTAGTGGCTTAAACACTTAGCAGTGTTAAGTTAGAGCTCAGTGGCACTGACAAACAGAAATCCAGCATATTCCATCTAGAAGAGCAGTGCCATCATTTAATCCATCCAAATGGCTGCTCCTACTGGACCTTTTCCTTGGCACAGAGTGCAGTTCTCTCAGGTGAGGCAAACATTCTCTCAGGTGAGGCAAACGTGCTCAAGGCCAGACAGCCAGCATTCATGTGGAAGTTTTTTCTGTCATGACAGCACAGCCAACAGAGTTTGGAGCTTACATTCTAACAACATGGTGAGGTATAAACCACTAAATATTCTTCGTTGAGGAAAAGAATATTATGTAGCCAGGGTACCTGATGATTATTGAACTATAAAAGCAGTGAAGGATTCTTGTCTTCTCATCCTCCCTCACTTATCATACATGCCCATTAGGATTATTTCCTCCCATTGTCACCAGCTTTATAAACTTGCCGTGCTTTGTTTTGTCAGTATACTTCAGCTCACTGGAGGCAATGCTGTTGCACCAAATGAGAATTAGGAAACTAATTGTCTTTTGCAATAGTGACACAATAGAGGACAAATGCCCACAACAAAATCACAACATAGCCTCCTGAGACTCACGATTAACTTTTCCTTGGAATGAGAGGAACATGCTGTCTTGTTTCAAAAATAAGAGTGTGCTTGGTTGTGAGCCAGAGCCAGTGATAAATACATTTCTGATTACAGTCAGCAACTTAATTTACAAGCATCTGATTAGAAGGAAAAAAAAAAAACAAACCACCAAAAAACAACCTTCGAAAAAATATGGTGATAAAAACAAGACAACTGTGATCTACACCAACTTGTGTGCTGAGCACAAGGCTGGAGTCATACGACTTGGTGTTCCCACTGCTGCCACTAATCTGCTGTCTGACCATGAGCAAGATACTGGATGTCTCCATTTCAGTTTCTTTGAGCTGGTAATTAGCTATCTATGGGTACACCTTCACCTTAGTGATCAAGGTTTCAACAATGATCATGAATAAAGCATCCTGTTTAGACAGGAAAAGGGTCCAGAATTTTGAGAATAGGTTTATGCTTTCAGCAGTTGAAAGTCCTTAACTGCATTATACCCTGTCTGCAGTATTTATACTGGAGAATTTCAGCAGAATTACATGCCCACGTGATATGATTAAGGTCACAGGAGTAGAGATAAACCAGCTTCATGCAGAATAAGATCCATGCTGTACATGTCCCACTCACAGGCTTTGCCATAAACTATACTGGGCTTCTAAAATTCTACATTTGTTCCAAGCCAGCATATTACAGTTGTATCAGATGAGCCAGATCAAAAAAATGGATATAATTTATCTTCCAAGTTAATGATTAGACATTTATATTTAAAGATAATGTACTGCTCTGTGTCCAAATGAGCAGCAATGTGTGCTTGCTGAACAGAGAGTATGCAATTATGTGCTGATGTTTAGTAGGCAGAGAATAGTCCTGAATGACTCCTGATAAATGCCTCTTTGCATTAAAAAATACACTGAGCTGCAACATCAAAGCTAACTGCTAACCCTCTAAAACTTTGTGCTTCTGGGAAGGAAATAAATATTTGCCATTGCTGCCTGTGAATGACCATACAGCCATTTAACTAATAACTCTAATGGGGTGAGCCTTTCAGAATGGCATTATTTCAGTTGCTACATTTTATCATCTAGTTTTCAATTGACTATACTGTTGTCAAATTTAAAACCTTTGCCCAACATTTTCCATTTTTTGCCTCAGCTTGGAAAGTTTAGACAAAACTTTTGCTGTTTGTGAGAGCGTGCTTAGGGTAAAAGATAATTTCAAATAAGTTTACTCATTGATGCTTAAATTTCTGATGTATTACTTCCTTGAGTCAGTACAGGGATTTGTAATAAGTCAAAGTCTAAATACAACCCATTTTTGTGGTTCCCTGGAAGTCACAGCAACTTTTTTTAGGTGTTCCTTATGCAGCCGATAAGGGAAAATGAAAAATAAAGCTCATGGTTTGTTTTACAATTGTTTGCTGCAACAGTTTTTCATGAGTTATCTTTCCAAATTTCCTCAATTCTAAAACCAATTTTTAAAATGTTATTGGAAAATATTTTTTTTTAATGTTTTGGGTACTAAAGAGACAAGGAGAGAGAGAAAAAAAAAACATGCTTCACTTTCATATGTGCATAAATTAGGATCATAAAGCAAAATAATTCAAAGGATCTGACTTTCAAGCTTTCAGATGAATTATCCCATCTGGCTTACGTTTTGCCCAGAGAAAAGATTCTGCTCTCTGGGGACAGGGAGAGAACAGCACTCAGGAAGCTGTTCAGCAGAGTCTAAGCAGGCTGTGACCTGTGGAGCTGTGTTCTACACTGATCCATGGTGACAACACAAAAGAGTGCGTGGGAAGCAAGAGGAGGCGGATGGTTTGTGAATCCATGCCAGTGCCATTCCACTGGCAAAATCCCCTCCTGGGGAAGGGAAGCTGTTGCAGGAGCTGCTGTGTGCTGGAGGCTGCAGCTGTGTGCATGGAGCACTTATGCTAATTTTGCCCAACCTGGGAAAAGATCGGGGGTGGCTTCATCACCGGCACAGAACTCTGCTGAACACTCTCATTTGTGCTCAGGGCAGTAATTAGAATTAAGCTCTGAAAACTGAATCTATTAATATGAGCGGAGAAATAATCAGTTTCTTTTCTACCACATGATTTGGAGATATCTGAGTTTTTCCACTCTGTTTTAAGGTCCTGTTGCCATAGTAGGCATAGAAGTTCTGAACAATGAGCTGCTTGCTGCTCAAGGAAGG